TTACTAAGAGTTGGGGTATAACTCAAGGGGAAAATGGCTTACCATGAGACCATATAGGACTAGCTTGTTCTGTGGGGCTCCACCACCCTTTTCCATATACTCAGATCACATGAAATTGAGTAGCTCTTATCTAGGTACCTACTTTTGTAACTTCCAGTGTCAACATGTGGCAGGCATCAACATTATCACCCTTCACCCAAGACTACCCAACAGGTATTTTGAGCTTTTATAGTCCAAAATGAGGAGAAGAAATAAAGAGAAAGGAAAATACTCAATATATGCTGCTCAATGCCTGTACTTTTAATTTCAGTATTCTGTTAAAAGAGATGCATCTTTCAAACATGAGTGATGCCAAGAAAATGATCTCACCCTCAATTGCTTAACTCTAGGTGAGATTTCAAGAGAATATCATTCTCAGGAAGGGACTGGAGAGAGACCAACCCAGTGAAGAATCTCATTGCTTGCTTGATTTTGCCTATTTTTCTTGTTTTCCGTGTTCTAGTCTTTAAGATTTTATTTTTAAAACCATTACAACACAAATTTTATTCTGTATTTGACCTCTCTGCTATTAGTGTCTATTATTTCTTTACTCCACACATAGTACTTTTATAATTTTATTTTTTTTTCTTCTCTCAAGGTACCAAGAGGTGACACTTCAAATTGCATATCCTTTCCCTTCCCTTCCTGTGTATCTCACTCTCATCTCTCGAGACAGATTCTTCTTTTTCACATTTACTGTGAACTTAACTCTTTCTGACCACGGTTTTGGATCAAATTAGATCCATCACAATCACAACTCTTCTCTCTTACCTAAGCTTTTGCCACCTGCTCTTGCTCACTGCAAAAGCTTGAGGTCTCTAGAGCAGGAGTGAGAGAGATTGCTTCCTGGGATTTGGAGTTTTTCTTTCTTAATTTATAGTTATTTTGAAGTTCAGGCATATTTTTGTCTTTGGATTACGCTGTGGATATTGCTTTTACAGATTTTTATTTGTTCATCTTATTCTTCTGTATTGCTTTTACCAGAAATATTGGGAGGTGCAGATCTAGGCAGCTGTCATTTTTTCTGGCTTCCTGAAAGTCTTCCCAAAATTAACACCTGGGGCATATATCCAGAGAAAACCATAATTCGAAAAAATACATGCACCCCAATGTTCACTGCAACACTATTTACAACAGCCAAGACATGGAAGCAACCTAAATGTCCACTGACAGAGGAATGGATAAAGAAGATGTGGCACATATATACAATGGAATATTACTCAGCCATAAAAAGAAATGAAGTTGAGTTATTTGTAGTGAGGTGGATGAAACTAGAGTCTGTCATACAGAGTAAAGTAAGTCAGAAAGAGAAAAACAACATGCTAACACATATAGATGGAATCTAAGAAAAAAATTTAAAAAGTCATGAAGAACCTAGGGGCAAGACGGGAATAAAGACACAGACCTACTAGAGAATGGACTTGAGTATATGGGGAGGCGGAAGGGTAAGCTGTGACAAAGTGAGAGAGTGGCATGGACATATATACACTACCAAACGTAAAATAGCTAGCTAGTGGGAAGCAGCCACATAGCACAGGGAGATCAGCTCGGTGCTTTGTGACCACCTAGAGGGGTGGGATAGGGAGGGTGGGAGGGAGGGAGGGAGACGCAAGAGGGAAGAGATATGGGAACATATGTATATGTATAACTGATTCACTTTGTTATAAAGCAGAAACTAACACCATTGTAAAGCAATTATACTCCAATAAAGACGTTTAAAAAAAGGACATTAGGTAAATACTAAGGAAATCTGTATAAAGTATGGAATTTAGTTATTGATAACATAACAATATTGGTCTATTATTTGTAACAAATGTACTGTAAGATGTTAATAATAGGGGAAACACAATGTGGGGTATATGGTAATTCTCTGTACTGTGTTCTCAATTTTTCTATAAATCTAAAACTGTTCTAAAAAATAAAACTCAATTAAGAAAATGAAGAAGGAAACCAAGAAACAGCAAGATATAGGATCCAGAGAATAGGGGACCTAACATAGGTAAGAGGTGAAGAGTACCCCCAGAAAGATGGTGAAGGGGGATGTCAAGATGTTAAATCTTCAACAAAGAAAGAGGGCATCCTGTTGTCACTGGAGTGGATCATAAATTTATTGGAAAGACATCTTAAAGAAGATAACACTTTTAGACTACCAGCTAACATCATATAGCTACAGCTGTACATACGGAGAGGAGATCTGTACAAATGGGCACGAGGTTAGGGATAAATCACAGAAATCCACAGAATATTAAGCAAATGCAAGCACCTAAAAATATTCACTTCAAGGAAAACAAAATAGGAAACGAAGGCAAAAATAGCATTTTATGTACTATCTACAAATACTGTTTAATAATCTAACTGCCAAGATTTATCTAACAACTTACAGTTATAACCATATTGCAAGAAAGAGAGGCGTGTGTGTGTGTGTGTGTGTGTGTGTGTGTGTGTGTGTGTGAGGGGGGTGGTGAGAGGGAGGTAAGATTCCACAGGAACTCACACTGGAAACTATTAGCGTAATCTAAACATGAGATGAGGAGAAGCTTATCAAATCAGTGTAATTGAGAGAGAAAGGCCAGACCAGGATTTCAAGGAGATAAGTTCTCTGGGACTTGGAGGCTGGATGAAGAAGCTGAGTGAGAAGATGTTTACAATTTATTTGCTGCCTGGGTGGCAGTGAAAAAAAGCTTATAAATTGATGACCAGAGGAGGAGCAGTGCTGAGAATCGCCAAATAAATGCTGACTGCAGTTTGGGGCACTTTAACTTGAGGAACACAAACAGACATAAAACAGAACCATCCAGGAGGCAGGTAGGGAACAGGTTCAGGCTGTACATTCAAGTGAATATGAATGAGGAAAAGAAGAATAAAAACTTATCAGACTCTATGTTCCAGGCAGTGTTCTAACATTTTACATGTAGTAAGTCATTTATGCCAAAAGACAATTATTCTCATCTCACAGATGAGGATACCAAGGGTGAAAGAGGTCACATAAATTGTCTATAATTTCACAATTAGAAAGTGGGGAATCCATCTGGGTTTAAATTTCAGAAAGTCTGACTTGACGGCCCGTTCCCTTAAACGCTTTGCCGCAAGTCAAAACCTCAGACTAGCAGAATCATTGACCTGCTCTGCTCTCCTGACACTGAGAGAATAACATATCCACAACTACACTACATGATGTGGGTGTTGCCAACTGCTCAGAATTGGGTGAGCATGCTTTGTCAGTGGTAGCACAGCTGCCAGTCCTTTTGGCCTGCTCCACGCTTGCAGAACAAGCTGGTAGACAGCTACCAAGCTGTCTATAAGATGCCTTATAGATGCGGATACCTGCCACATCTGCCTGTTCTCCAACCCTGGTTTTAGAACTTCAATTGTCTGAATTCCCAATCTTCTTTATATTAACTCTTTTCTATTTAAAAGAGCTAGAGTCATTTTTTTTCTAGTTTTATTGAGGTATAATTGACATACAGCACTGAATTAGAGTCACTTTCTATTGTTTGTGCACATAAACTCTGATACAATATTTCTCCCTGACATGTATCAGCCAAAGTATGATCTAACTGGCAAAACACGTATCTGTCAAATGGGTTACATTCTAAGTTAGAAATATAAATAAACTTTGCAGTACAAGATTTCAGGGTGTTTTAATTCTCGGTTAATCATTGAAATTTGTGCAATCTTTGTACCTCACTTCTCAAAAGAGAATATTCTAGCTTCTTCTTTGGCAAACAATGTCACTATTGGTTTTCCCAATAAGTCCTGTTTCATGTAACATAAACTCATTTGCTACAACTTTGGATTTTTCCACCAAAAATTATTAGAAGTTACAAACATAGTTTATATTTCCTGAAAAATATGGGTAAGTCAAATCAAAAGGACCTTCTTCAGTGGAAATTATGGTTGAGTGAGGTCAGCAAATCTTCTCCACAAGAACATCCATAAACTTGGCCAAAATTGACAAACACAGTGATCTCAACACTCTGGAAATCAACCAACGCACACAACAATCAGAAATGTTGATGCTTCAGAAAGTGTTTATGTAAGAACAATGGGAGTCTGTGATATTTTACACAGCACTCCTCCCAAGGCCAAATTCTGACTGGCTCTTCGAACTGTGTATAAACACTGTACTCTAGTAGCTGAATTTGTTTCTCACAGGGCTATGTGTTTCCAACTCTGAAACCCTACTCCACGTATACTGGGGTTGACAGAATAATAATAAATTGTAGATAAAAGAAATTTTGTTATACTCAAATGCCTTTTCCCAACTGATTTGCTTATGAAGAATAATATTGATCTGGGGAGCCAGCGCCGCAGCAGCGAGAACGGCCGGCTCCACCCGCGCGACTCCTCCCACAGCCGCCGCCGCAGCTTTACCGCCGCCGCTCAACGCGACGCGCGGGCCAAGGTTCGCTCCACCGCAGCCTCCCGGAGCCCAGGGGAAGTCCGGAGGCCCTGTGCCCGAACGCAGGCGCGGCCTCACTCTTACCTTCTCCGGAGAATCTCTGAAGACCCGGCGGACGCAGGAGGCGGCTCCCTGGTCTCCGGCATCTGCTGGGCCCCGAAGTAAGCGGCGCTAGAGAACTGGCAGCCTGAGAGCCCCGGGCGGCCGGCTGGGCCTGGGTGACCGCTCGGACGTTGTCACGGGAGACAAGTGGAGCCTGCGGGCACGCGTGGCCTGGGCCACCGCCAAGGCCTCCTACGGCAGCAACCGCGAGATGGACGGCACGGAAGCCACGCCTGGGGCAAATCAGCGGCTAGCACCAGAAGCGCCGTGCAGCCCACGCCCCGGCCCACTGCAGCCCCCCGTTAGGCCGCCCACCAGCTGCCCGTGGCTTGGCCCCTGACGGTCCTACAAGGACAAAACTTCGTCCGTCTTCTGCTCTGCAGCATGTGGACCCCAGGCCCGCCGAGCTGCACACCCGCTTCGGAGGAGCCGGCGGCTGTGGCGCCGTGTGAGGAGCATGCGCACGAGAGCGCGCCCGCTGCCGCCTTGGGTCTTCCGCAAAATGGAGGCGCAGGGCCCTACGGGGCCGCCAGGTCAGGGCCTGGCCAAGAAGGACACCAGGGGCAGCAAGCTGAGTAAGTGCCCGTCCATAACCCTGGGTATGTTCTAAAACAAGAAGTGCGTCTCCCGGCCAGCCGCTCAGGCCGGGGTTCCCGCTTCACTGCCGCCTGTCAGACAGGGCACCTGGCCCTCGTGCTGAAGCAGCCTGGAAGCCGCTGAACACGGCGGAGCGTGGCTCCCCTTGGGGCCCACCGGTGGATGCCCTGCCTCTCGCCCATCGGCCTCTCCGGTCTTGGGGCTCTGGGCCCCCACTGCCCCAGGCCTTGCTCCCCCAAGTCCCATCTCTTCTCACACCTCAGTGTCTGGGCTCTCAGCCTCCCCTTCTTACGCATCTGCCTCCACCGTCTCTTTGGGCTTCAGGCCCCCTTTGGGCCCTCATTCACTTCAGGGTCCCATCGCTTTGTGCCTCAGTCCCCCATTTGTAGGGGTCACCTTTTTGTACTTCAGTTCCCCATTCTCTTGAGGCCTCCTGTCTTGGGCCTTCCGTGTTCTTGGGGTTCCCCTCTGCTCACGACTTCCCGACTTGGCAGCTTCCTCACTCTGCTGCTGCTTTGCTGTCTCTGGCAGCCCCCATCCTCTCTGTCCTCCTCAGACCCTTTCTCTCTCACCTGCATCTCAGGCAGCTGGGGGCTCACTTCCTGTCCTGCTTGTATTCCGGTTTCTTCACTGCCTCCCGCCCTGCCTCCAGACACCTTTCTTGATGGCCCATCCTTTTGCTGTGAGGAAGCGAGCTGGTTGCAGGCAGTTTGGGAGGGAGGGGTGGAGCCAGCTTCAAAAAATGCCTTTCTTGGCAAGTGCGATAGGACAAGCCCTTGAAGCAGACCTGGCCCCCTCCTCCAGCAAGGCTGTGGCCAGCATCTGGTGAGGAGTGAGCGCACTAGGCTTTGCGCACGATAAAACCTGGTCTGGATGGATGATGCCCCAGCCTCGCGAGGAGTCCCTGGCATGCCCCACAGACACGTGTTCACAGGCACCATCCCCAGCTATGCCCGGAAAGGGGCTGAATGTGGAGCGCCTGTTCTTGAACAGGTGAAGGCAGAGTATGGTGAGCCCCAACCCACTGCTCTGGAGGGGTCCTGGCACCCCATGGGGTGGGAGTGGTCCTTGCTCTACAGGTGCCCAGCAGACCCCATCTCTACCCTGTTCTTGGAGCCTTTCCTCTTTGTTACCAACCTGCAAAATCTGTCCTCTTAACTTTCTTGTATTTTTTCACCTCCAGAGAGTAACTTTGATTTGGAATGATACCTTTTGGTACCAAAAGCCAATCGCCCCCTCAACATGTAGGTGTTAGCACTGTGAAATTAGTGTTTCTGCTATTTCATTACAAATAGGTTTTTTTTGTTGTTGTTGTTTTGTTTTTGTTTTTAAGTCTAAGAAATCCCAAGAGAGAAAGAGTTTAAGAAACAAGGCCACTGAGCAAAGGCAGCAGTTCTGACTCCCAGCATGGAGAAGGGAGGATGGTGGGGCCTGGGGGACACTTGTCACTTTCACTCCCTTTTAGCTCTCTGTCCACCAAAGCCACTGCCCAGCGAGTGGTGACATCAGGGACTTTTGTTCAGGTGGAAAAGGTCACCGGGGAGCTGGATGAACTTGAGCATTTCTTGGCCTTAATATGCTTGCTCCTTAGTTTGTTTTTATGTGGCCTGGTGTGTCACTGTTCTGAGCAGACCATTCCAGGCCTGTTGCTAAGGGAAAACCGTAACAGGCATTCTGCCCATGGAGAGGCCAAAGACTGGGACCCCAGCCAAGACTCTTAAGAGCCTCCTGTCTGTATCCCCCCACACCATGCTGCATAAGACATCTCCTAAAGTGAGATTCTGCACATTTTGTTGTTAACAATAAAACAATACATACACAAACACAGGCACATAATGATGATGTTGTGAATTTTCACAAAGAGTTAGTAGTGGGACATACCCTGTCTTTGACTGATTATAAGACCAACTCAAATTCTGGCCCAGCTGTGCAGGCCTGGGAGAAACCACAAACTTGAGCATGCAGCACCACCCTAGGGAAAGCAAAAAGGAGGCTATCAGTAACTGAACTAGTTTTGCAGCATTGAAAGAAGGCATACAAGCATAAGAACTCTGCTGTAAGTTGAAACAAGTGTGGAGCACCATAGAAAAGATCTGAGAAAGACTCAGAATTATTAGCAGGGCTGACAGAAGGTAATTCTCTCCTGAAGCCTGTCAGAAAGACCAGAGGAGGTGACTGCTTCTCCAGATTTGAAGACAGTAGCAAAGTCTTCAAGGAATTTGAAAAATCAGTGTAGCATGACATCACCAAAGGAGCATAATAATTTTCCAGAATCAGAGCCAAAAAAAAATGGAGATCTGCAGTTTGCCTGATAAAGAATTCAAAATAATGGTTTTAAGGAAGCTCAGTGAGCTACAAGAAAACAGAGAAAGACAATTCAATGAAATCATGACAAACAAAATGAGAAGCTTAACAGAATCATAAAAAAGAATGAAATAGAAATCCTGGAGCTGAATAATTACAATGAATGAAATTTTAAAATGTGATAAGAACCCAGAAGCAGATTAGATCAAGCAAAAGGACAATTCTATGAAGTATAAGACAGGACATTTGAAATTATGCAGTCAGTATAGAACAAAGAAAAAAAATGAAAAAGAGTGAAGAAAGCCTATGTGAACTGTGGGATACCATTAAGAGAAACATTGTAGACACTATTGGAGTCCCAGAAGGAGAAGGATGGAGAAAGGGGCGGAAAGCGTGTTTAAAGGAATAATGGCTAAGAACTTCCCAAATCTGGGGAGATATCTGGACATCCAACTTCATAAAGTTAATAGGTCACCCCAATATTTCAACTCAAAATGATCTTCTCCAAGACACATTATAATTAAGCTGTCTAAAATCAAAAATTTAAGATCATCCAGAGGAAAAATAATACTCAAATACAAGGGAACCTCCATTAAACTATCAGATTTCTCAAGAGAAAGCTTGCAGCCCAGGAGAGAGTGAGATAATATACTCAAAGTGTTGAAAGAAAAAACTGCCCTGCCAATCAAGAATACTTTATCCAGCAAAGCTGTCTTTAAAGATGAAGGTGAGATAAAGACTTTCCCAAACAAACAAAAGCTGAGAGAATTAATCAGCATTAGACCTGCTGTAAAAGATGCTGAATGGAGTTCTTCAAGCTGAAAGAAAAGAACACTATAATTAGTAACATGAAATGTAAAAAAGTATACAGTACACTGGTAAGTATATAGTCACATTCAGAATATAATACTATAAGACGGTGGTGTGTTAACCAGTCAACTCTAGTAAAGGTTGACAAAACTAAAGAACAAAACTATTAAAAATAACTATAACTTCAATAACTTGCTGATGGATGCACAATATTAAAAGAGGTAAATTGTGACATCAAAAACATAAAATGTGGGGAGTAAAAGGGTAGTGTTTTTGTGTGTTACCAAAGTTAAGTTGTTATCACCTTAAAATAGTTATATCTATAAGATATTTTTTGTAAGTCTCATGGTAATCACAAAGCAAAAGCCTACATTAATATAAAAAGATAAAGAGAAGGGAAATAGAAACATACCATTATAGAAAATCATTAAATCACAAAAGAAGACAGCAAGAGAGGAAGAAAAGAACAAGGGAATTACAAAACAGCTAGAGCACAATTAGGATGGAATTAGTAAGTCCTTACCCATCAATCATTATTTTAAGTGTAAATGATATAAATTCTCCAGTCAAAAAGAAAAGAGTGGCTGAACGGATTAAAACAAAACAAAACAAAAAAGATCCAATTATATGCTGTCCATAAGAGACTTACTTCAGTTTTAAGGACACATACAGACTGAAAGTGAGGAGATAAAAAAAGGTGTTCTATTCAAGTGGAAACCAAAAAACAGCAGTGATAAATACACTTATATCAGACAAGATAAACTTTAACAGCTGTAACAAGAGACAAAGACGGCAGTGATATGATGAAGAGGAAACATTACAACTGATATCACAATAATACAAAAGATCATAAGAGGCTACTATGACCAATTATACACAAATAAATTGAATACTATAGAACACATGGATAAATTCTTAGAAACAAACAATATACCAAGACTGAATTATGTAGAAACAGAAAAATCAAAACAGATCAATAGGGCTTCCCTGGTGGCGCAGTGGTTGAGAGTCCTCCTGCCAATGCAGGGGACACAGGTTCATGCCCCGGTCCGAGAAGATCCCACATGCCGCGGAGCGGCTGGGCCCGTGAGCCATGGCCGCTGAGCCTGCACGTCCGGAGCCTGTGCTCCGCAACTGGAGAGGCCACAACAGTGAGAGGCCCGCATACCGCAAAAAAAAAAAAAAAAAAACAGATCAATAACGGGTAAGGAGATTGAATCAATAATCAAAAACCTCCCAACAAAGAAAAGCCCAGGACCAAAAACTAGATGATTTCACTGGTGAATTGTACTAAACATTTAAACAAGAATAAATGTCAAAACTTCTTAAACTCTTCCAAAAATGGAAGAAAGAACAGCTTTCAAACTCATTTTACAACCAGAATTACCTTCACACTAATGTCAGGTAAAGACAGTATAAGAAAAGAAAACTACAGGCCAATGTCTCTGATGAATATAGATGCAAAAATTCTCAATAGAATTCTAGCAAACCAATTCAACAGCACATTAAAAGATCATACACCATGATCAAGCGAGATTTAACCATGGGATGCAAGGATGGTTCAACATACACTAATCAATAAATGTGCTATACCAGATTAATAGAATGAAAGATAAAAATCATATGATTATGCAGAGAAAGCATTTGACAAATTTCAACATTCTTTCATGATAAAAAAAGGGGGTGGATTGCAAAGGGAGATGAATATACTTTTGGGGGTGAGGGAAATGCTCTAGATCTTGACCATGGTGGTCTTTACATGACTATTATTTTTGAAAGTCACTGAGCTGTACTCTTAAAATGAGAGCATGTTATTGTATCCAGATTATGCCACAATAAAACTGATTAAAAAGAGAATATTATAAGAAGAGCCAGTCTGAACTGTGATCTTATATCTCCTGCCCCTTAAACATTTTCCATAAATAAAACAGATTTAGTTTTGCATTAAACAAGAACCTAGTAGTTTTAAAATTACTACAGAAGTTTGAATAAATGTGGGTTGTATAAAATGGAATGCAACTCAGCAATAAAAGGAGCAGACTGTTGATACATGCAACAACTGGGATGGACTTAAGGGCATCATGCTTAGTGAAAAAAGCCAATTTCAGAAGTTATATATTGTATAGTTTCATCCGTTGTCTTCCTAATGACCCAACTATAGAGATGAAGAACAGGTTAGTGGTTGCTGCAAGACAGATGAAGGTGGGAGGGGATAGGTGTCACTATAAAGACACCTATCTTTGTAAGGTATGTACACCCCTATGTAAGGGGTTCCTTTATGTTAGTGGCAGAGTTCTGTATCATGATGGTGGTAGTTACATGATTCTACACAAGTGATCACATTACATAGATCTACACACACACACACACACACACACACACACACACACACACACGACAGAAACACTGCATATAAAATTGCTTAAAGCTGAATAATGTCTGTAGTTTTGCTATTATACTACAGTTGTCAAAGATGTCACCATGGTAGGAAGCTGGGTAGATTTCAGGGGACTCTATCCATTATTTTTGAAATTTCCTGGGAATATATAATAATTTAAAATTTTTTTAAAACTTAGATTTTTTTCCTCATAAGCATGATCATAAGCTAATACATGCATAGGAATTTTAAAGTCATATTTCCTTGTAATAGAAGCTTATTTACAGTGATTTTTCTTATACATTTGATTTTAATCTATTAAAAGCATATTGAATCAGAACAACTCAAGGTAATTAAATTTCCGTGGAATAATTTTTATAGTAAATAGTGTTTTATTAAACAATAATCTCTGAAATCAATTAAAAATATTCTTTGGTTTATGTCTATAAAATTTGCATAAACACTGATTATTTAAAGAGACTCAACTATTATAAAGGGCCATAATAAACTTTTCTGAAATGGTCATATATCTTTATGAACTTAAATTCTTGAAACTAATGTTACCTAGAATTACAATTAGTGGATTTTCAATGACATTAATTATTTGCATCTTTATAAGAGACAGCAGAGGATCCTTTCTCCTATGCTCTGGGGAATGTATAATCCCTGATGGGAAATTAACATTTACTGTAACAATTAGGGTGTAAACACAGACACATTTCTCCCCTGCAGAGCGTATCATGATGGGAAAGTCCTGGGGGACCCCTATACCTGAATTTCTAATCAGGTCCAAAAGAATTATAGGCCTTAAGCAAATGCTGTGTGCTCTATGACATTGTGGCTCAGATGTGAAGCCTGTGGTTTCCCTTCATGATCTCTTAGTAAATTTATAACCACAAGTTTGATCTAAATCATAGACTGACTCTTGGAACATTCATACTGTGAGATCTATGCTATGACTCTTTTCCAGGGAAGGAAGAAGATTCTGTGACTACATCTGCTCAGCTTTGATATCTCCAAGGCCAGTTCTTCTTTCAGGACAGCGGAGGTAAAACACGTATAAAGGGTCAGCACTGAGTTCCCTCCATGGATGCAGAGTGAGATAACCCAGTTTCTATACTTGCTCACTCCCTCTGTTGCTGAAAAATGAGAAGTATTTATATTGAATAACAAGAAACTCCAAAGTCTGGAGCTCTGACCCTACTGCCTGTATTGTTCGCAGCATACACTCTGTGTTGACTCCATCTTCATTCTGGGAGCAGGAGAACTGTAGCAGTTCCAAGTGACAAATCCAGACAGCAACATCAGAAGAAATTTTTTTTCTAAAATTTTTTTATTGAAATGTATAAACAGAGGACAGTTGATATATCATAATAAGTATACAGCTTGAAATGTTTTCACAAACATAATAACTAAATCAGCACTCAATATTTCTCATTCATGCCATGCTACAAAACCTAGGAAAGCACATCCACCTTCCTTTATTCATTCGCTGTCCAGCTAGGATAGAGCAGAGGAGGAGAATGTGTGGAAACACTGGAATATATGGTTAAGTATAAAACTCAGGTTACTAAGGTTAACCTCAATACCTGTTATCAATTATTAACTTCCTGGAATCTTGTAGTAAAGTACCTGAAAACCTTAGAGACTATGAGAGACTTCCTGGTAGCAGAATATTTGTATGGTCTCTTCCATGTAGGGATCCTTTCTTTCTTGATGGTCAAAACAGGGGACCTAAGGTACCTAGTAGGGTAATGGAAACATGAGTAGGAAGTAGGAAGTGATGAATCAGATGAATAGGGGGGAGAAATGGGGATACATTCCCACCACTGAAGCCCATCAGCAAGTAGGCTTGTTCCTCAGCTACCCCATCTCTCTATCTTCTAGTAAGATAGAGCAGTTGTTTGTCACATGCAGTTCATGCAATGAAAGACAGTGATTTAAATGTTGAGGGGTGTGTACCTTCAGACCTTATGAAGCAAAAGAGGACTTATGTGATTTCTGCCAGTCTGAGTCTCTTTCTCATAAAGCTCATATAAAAGAGAGTTTGTAAGAACAGAGCTGGGTTCCCTATTGATGGAGTTTTCTTCTATTCTCACAGATTTCCGAAGTTGAGAATGCTGGCTAGAAATGACTCCTTACTGCCTGAATTTATTCTTGCTAGATTAACAGACCGTCCAGAGCTCCAGCAGCCCCTCACTTACCTGTTTCTAATGATCTACATTGTCACCATGGTGGGCAACCTGGGCTTGATCATTCTTATTGGTCTAAATTCTCACCTCCACACCCCCGTGTACTGTTTAGTCTTCAACTTACCCTTCATTGATCTCTGATGCTCCTCTGTTTTCACCCCCCAGATGCTGATGAACTTTGTATTCAGGGAGAATATCATCTCCTATGTTGGGTGCGTGACTCAGCTGTTTTTCTTTCTCTTTTTTGTCATCTCTGAGTGCTATATGTTGACCTCAATGGCCTGTGATTGCTATGTGGCCATCTGTACTCCAATGCTATATAGGGTCACCATATCCCATAAGGTCTGTTTGGTGCTATCTTTGGCTGCGTATGTGATGGGGTTTACTGGAGCCTCTGCCCACACAGGGTGCATGCTTAGACGAACCTTCTGCAATGTTAATATCAACCATTACTTGTGTGACATCCTCCCACTCCTCCAAGTCTCTTGCACTAGCACTTATGTCAGTGAGGTGGTAGTTCTCATTGTTGTGGGTATTAATATCACAGTACCCAGTTTCACCATCCTAGTTTCTTACATCTTCATCCTTACTAGCATTCTTCATATCAAATCTGCTCAGGGAAGATCGAAAGCCTTCAGCACGTGTAGCTCCCACATCATTGCTCTTTCTGGTTTTTTTTGGTTCAGCA